AGAATATTGTATACATAATAAATAAACAAATATTTAAAAAAAAATGAATTGAGCGTAACCGAAATTTAGAGTCTAATTTGGGGTGATTTAATTAGAAATGTACTTTCCTATATATATATTATATATATATATGCACACATAAACTATAGCATTTATGTATAATATGGAAGTATATTAAAATGTAAATTTATAAATGCTAAATGTACATATAAATTTATATTTCAAATGTAAATATATTTGTGGAAAGTATTTATGAAATAAATTTATAAAAATAAAGTAATAATATACAAGTTTGTGATAGGAAGAGTGGGTTCTAAGGTTTACTAGGAATAGGGAATCTGGGGAAAGACAAGCCTACCTTTCCTATTAAGGATTATCGTTATTTGAATGGGATGAGTGGCCATGTCAGCGACCCTGGTGAAGCCATGGGTGTATCAGTGCCAGTCTGAGCATTAACTCCCTGCCTCTTCTTGGCTGCCAGCTGCTGTGGTGGCTCCAGCCTCGCCTGGTCCTGAGTGGCCACACACACAGCGCCTGCGAGGTGCTCCACCCGGGAGGAGTGCTCGAGGTGAGCGTCCCGTCCTTCAGTTGGAGGAACAGAAACAACCCCAGCTTCATCATGGTAACGTAAACCTTTATTTTTATCTGAAAGCTTTCTGGAGTATTGAGATCAACACAGGAATCAACTATTTAACGGCTGCAATCTGTAAAAACATACAAAAGCCAGAAATCAGTCGCCCTCCTTGTACTCTGAGTTGTATACACCCCCTGTCTGTAATCACCTGTCTGGGGACACAGAGGCAGAACATGGCTTCAGAGGGACTCTGAGGAGCATCTGCCAGAATCTTATCTCGAGAGCAGAGGTGAAGTTCAACAAGAGCCAGTTTGTTTCCAAGGAAACGGTGTCTATACATCAGTAGACTTTGTCACCTCTCATTTCCTAAGTGTGCCAGGCGCACGCTGCTACAGAATCCCCAAGCTGGGGAAAGGTGCTGACCCAGTGAAACGCCTCCTTTGTAACCATGGGTCTTGCACTCAGCCTCATGCTGTTGTTCTATGGTTCTACCTAGAAAAAGGCGGGGGCCCCGTGTGTTTTCAAGTTCAAGTCAGTGAAAACATTTGCTGCCTTGATTCCACATTGCGAATCCACACTGTGGAGAGGCAGGGGTACTTCTGGGCGACAGTAGACTGCTCTGCTATCAGACGGCAGGGACACTCTGTCCTCTTGTTCCTCTGGGACTGATGCCTCTCCTTCTCCCTTCAGGGCTACTCTACTATGTGATCTTCCCGAGCCAGCAGAGCTTTGGTGTCTTTCTTTTGCTAGCACCTCTGTGGCCGGTGGTGACTTGTTATGCCTAAAGCTCCTTGGTCCTGAATGAAGAGGGCTCTTCCCTCCCGAGCCCACCCATGGGGGCCTAGAAGACAGCCTCTAAGTCATTGCTGTGCCTGGGACTCGCCCTTGGAACTCACTCATCAACTCTCTATTTCTTCCCCAGGGAAGTCTGACATCCAGAGACTACGCTCTCTCCAAGTGCTACCTCCCATTTGAGGACAGGGTGCTGACCACCTATGGCGCGGTGGTTAGCTTCCTTGTGCTCCTCGTCCTAGCTCACTTTGAACGCTTGCCTTCCTCTCTTCTGTCCGGTTGGAAGCGGTGCAGAACGCACATGAGAAGATGATGAAGCCGGTGATTGTTGCCTCTTGGTAATATCAATCAACACCAAAGGCATAGGACTTGTGGTGGGGCTCATGTGAGCCGCGGAGGTGAGCAAATAGTAGTGACTGTCCTTGTGCGCATCATGGGGATTCCAAATCATCCACGCCAGTGGCTGCAGAGTAGACGGCTGCCTGGCCTGCTCTCGTGCTATGAAAACAGAACATGTACTCGACAACACGTCTGTCTTTTTGTTTTATCAAATATATGTAGAATCAAAGGGTGCATCTGTACAGTATGTAAATGTCATGGACACTGTCACTTGCATGCACAACACACAGCCCTTGCTTCCCCAGAAAGGACCCGGCAGTCTTGGTGCACGTTGGAGGCTTCGTGTGCACCGAAGAGTTGGATTTTTCTCTGTCCCTCTCTGCAGTGGCTCTCAATTTCTCATAGATCATGAAGTCGTATGCTCAAAAGGACAGATTCAATATGCAGGAACTTGTTTCTGTGCTGATGGAATCAGATTTTTAGTTAAGTGTGATTTTCTCTTTAGGAGAAAAACCTGTCACATCTGATTCAATGCCTGTTGGTGATTCAAACTTCAAAAATGGAGGACCTGGATGTTTGAATTTGAAAATAAAGCATATATTTTTTTTCCCTAAAGGAGTCTGGATCTTTATAATGATCGAATCTTATTAATTTATATTTCTTCTATTCTGATTGAGCTCAGGGCTTCTGCATGCTGAGTGTGTGCTCTGTCAGAGTTATACATTCAGCCCCTAGAACACTTTTAAATAGTTCTTTAGTAACAGGGAACTGTTAGTGGTATAAAACTTCACGTGTATGTGTGTGTGAGCTTTTCTTCTTGCTTGGAACGTGCAGGGGAACTGAAAGTCACTTTCCTGTCGTGTGTGGGCTCAGCCGGAAGTTTGTGCAGCAGTGGAGAGTGGTACAGACAGCGGCGAGGAGCCGAGGAGCGTGCTGTCGCGACCGAGGCTGCCGTCCTTTCCCAGAGGAGCATCTCAGCCACGAGGAGTGTACAAAGCATTACGCAATGCCGACTTAAGTGGAATAAACTTGAGACAACAATAAGTAGATGAATAAGTAAAGTAACACAGGCGGTCACTCCTGTGTGTTTGTACTGATGAATATTTAACCTAGGACATCTTGACAGAGAACTCTAAGCCTAAGAGAACTATTCCCAGAGCCTTGGCCGTAGGTAGCGCCAACAGTGCCCTGACGCAGCTGCTGTTATGTTCTAGGCGTTCCTACCGTATACTCGAGGTTGCGGCTGCAGATCTCACATGTGGGGAGCAGCCATACAGTCTGTCTTTATATTTAAAACAAAGGTTTTTGTGGGGCTGGCGTTATGGCTGTGGATAAGGATTAGCAGTAGAGTGCTTGCCTAGCATGCTCCAGGTGCTGGGCTCGTCCCTAGCAATGCAGATAGATAGATACTAAGTAAATAGCTTTGTAGTATTTCATCTTCAGAAGGTGCCGTCCTTCCTGCCCTCACTCCGCTACAACATTGACGCTACTTCACTTTCCTCTGGTCACCTGTTTATCATAAGATGGGACTGTATCTAGAACTTAACTAGGGGGTAGTAGGCCTGCTCCTGCCTAGGGAACCTGAAGGAGTCTTCAGAAACATTTCATCTGTGTGCGGGGGGGGGGGGGGGGGGGGGGGGGGGTAGGGGGAGAGAAAACCCTTAGTACCCTAAAAAAAAAGTAGCTTCTAATTTATGCCTTGGAATTGGGTGGTCCCAGTGTTTGCAGCAGCTGAGATTCAGAGCAATGAAAGCTGGCGGCTGCGACAGTTCCAGTATTGGGATGGCACTGCTGGTCAAGTAGATGATTCTGTAACGATCGTCCATAAATACCAACCTGATAAAAAAATATCCCAAGATGAACAGATCCCACCGATTCCCCGCTGTGTCTGCAGCAGGTTGTGTGGACCGCAAGCTGCTTGGCACAGCTGGGACATATTTCCTTACAGGTGGGGCCATCACCAAGGCACAGAACGCTACAAGGAGGAGGTTTTGTTAGGAGTCATACAAAAGAGTATTACATTGTGTGGGTCTGTACAGTCTAGTAAAGCAACAACAAAGAGAAACTAGGAAAGACCATGCCCAGCTATCAGGAAGGTGTAGAGGACACCCCCATGTATAGACAGGACACAGTTTGCAGTAGTGAACGGGGCAGCTTTTCTGCCTAAATGTAAGAGGCTCTGAGAGGCCCTCTACTCACTGCAACCGTGGCCGGAAAAAAATTCCTCTTGCTCTGTGGCTGGCTCGGGTCTACTCTAAGCATTGGGCCAGTGCAGATCAGAAGGGGCAGCTACCTGCTAGCCAGAAAGAGCCTCAGTCCATGGTGATCATGCTTGATAATTTGAAACAATGTATTTCTCCGATTTACCACGTTGCCTTTGATGAGTCAGCCCCTCGACCAATCAAAGAATCGATAGGTTCCCACTCAGACGGGTCACTGCAGTATCACCCATGTGAGAGTTGGTGGCTTTGCAGTGATAAAGATTGGTGGCGGGAGGCTGTGCAGTCCGGTGAGAAACAAAAGCTACAGAAACCAAACCTGGGGGACAGAGGTAGCCAGAGGCTTGGTGCTCACACGTAGGCATACCTAGGACAGGACAGGTGGCAGCCCCGTGACGCTGAAACACTCACTACGCCCTACCATGGCTCGGGGTGGACAGACACGCAGGCTGGGGAGATACACCGCCTCCTGGGGTGGCCAAGAGGGAGGAGAGGCGGCAGTGAGGAGGAGGGGTAGGCAGTCCTCACAAGAGTTCGTACTGCTTCAGGTGCATCCTCTGGATGATGTCACGACAGTCGTTGAACACTCTGCGGATGTTCTCGGTGTCCACGGCACAGGTGAAGTGGGGGTAGCAGTAATGTTTGCCATCGCCTGTGGCTGTGCTGATCCTCTGTGGAGAAGAAGGTTGTGCTCAGGACAACAGGGCCCAGTGCCATCAAATGGGAGGACAGCTTAAGGACTGGATAGAGAGGCTAGAGAGGACTTGGACCGACTGGGCTTCCCCAAACTGCTCAGGTACCAAGCATGCCCCAGGAGAGAGTTAAACATCCCTCGGCCACAGGCACTGAATCTGAGCTGAGGCGGGCTTTGGAGAGGGCAAGACAGGCCAAGATTTCCTGAATAGAAATTTCCAGCATCTATGTTTGTCTATGTTGCCCTGGTGGACAGAAGTCTGCTTACAGAAATATATTCTGCCTGGATATGTGGTAGTTACGGCAACTAGTGCATGCCGTTGAGGTGGGGGCCAGAGCTTGTCTCTAACTCAGTTTTTAATTCATTTATATTTACTTTGTGGAAGGGTCTAGCAATACTGCCTACACCAACCTTAAACTCCAGAATGACAGCCATCTTCCTACCTCACCATGCAACTCCTGTGCCACCCGATGCAGCAAATTTATCTAAGAATCCACATGTGATGGGTTGTATCTCAGTTATGCATTCTCCACACAGGTGATCTAGCTGGCAGCTGGCAGTGGACTGTTGCCGAGTGTGTGTGTGTGTGTGTGTGTGTGTGTGTGTGTGTGTGTGAAGCGTTCTTTGCTCTTAACGGTGGGAAGCACAAAGTCCATTTGCAAAGCTACCTGGGACAGACTAGGGAAAGGAAGGGCTGAATTGTATTTCCAAACTTCTGTGTTGGATCTGAACTCTCCAGGGCCTCAGGATATGCCTGCATATCTTTATGATATGATATGACAAGATCTTCAAAGAGACAATTATGGTTAAATAAAGTCTTTAGCTTGAGCTTGAGTTCAACACAGCTGACCTGTAAGGTGTCCCTGTAAGGGGAGGAGGTCAGGACACAGACATGGAGAAGCTGATCACGGGGACACAAAGTGGAGATGCTATCCATGAGCCGAGAAGAACAGCCTCAGGATTAGGTCCTTTTTTTGACACCTGACTTCAAACTTCAGCATCCCGAGCTCTGAGGAAGCATTTCCATTGGCTAAGCCTCTAGTCTGTGAGATGTTGGGGGTCTACGGGATGTCGCTTTGGCAGCCCCGACAACCCCAACAGAATCATACATACTTTCTAGCTACAGGTGATCCCTAGAAGCATCCCAGGGCCTCCTTTCCAACATCTTTTGTCTGCAAAGCATCTTGGGTCACAGCCTTTAGGGAGCTCTTAGGACCACATCGAGGGTCTTGAGGAAATGTTCATCTGGTTATAAAACTCCTGAGAGGGGTCAGAAGGGATGTTAGCTTCCCTTGTGAGTCTGTTTGTTGCTGGGGATGGAACCCAAAACATCAACCATTGCAAGGTAGGCAAAGTACCCTACCACTGAGCTATAGCTCTGGCCCAGCTTTTCATTTTCAAGCTTAAGGACATTGAAATGAATGCCTGCTCACATGCACCTCTAATCCCAGAAGTAGAGGTAGGAGGATGTAAGTTAGTGGCCAGCCTGGGCTACGCAGTGATTCTGAGGCCAGCCCGAGCTACACATACTCTGTCTTAAAAAAAAAAAATCAAGGACTGGGATATAGCTCAGTGGTATAAATGTATGTCCTGGAAAATAACCCAAAAACGGGCATGACAAGCATGGCAACTTGATAGAGGGAGGGGGCAGAATTCGGGCAAGTTCATTTTCATGCCAACCTGCTGGTGCTTTTGGGTGGAGGAAGCAGACACCAAGGATTGACTGTGTGCACTTTAGACTCTGCAGGACTTGCTTCTGTTTGGGAGACACGTGTGTGAACAGAGTGTGGCCCTGACACCTGCTCCTCCCTTCGGTACCTGGGTGAGAGATGTAACCTCTCTCACGTCAGTGTGCCGAGGCACGAGAGAGGACTGCTTCTGTCTTGGCTCAGGGCTTAGGGAGACAGTGAGACCATGAAGGGCTAGTTAGCACACCACAGAGAGCAAGGTTATTAACTGTAATGTGGACCACACAAGGGCAACAGAATTGCTTACCAAAAACAGATCTCGGATAAAGAACTTGGCTCTCGTAACTTTGGGATCTTCTCCTGCATCCGGTGTTGCTGTTGAAATTAAAAATGGAGTTTCATTTAACTGACGGAAGCAGAGATGCAGAAGAATGGCAACGCAGAAGGAATTAACTACACAGGGCTCTGTATGTTCATGGCATTAACATTCATCGCATGACAGGGCAAAATTAAATGTAACATTTAATTTTCCTTCTCCCAAAGCGTTTTAATTCTCATGGAGCTCCGAGAAAATGTCGCTAGTCCTCTGGTCTGGGTGCTGTGTCTACTTTCCTCATACAGTCTTCCTCATCAGAGTGTCACCAAGTGGGATGGCTCCACTGTCAGGGGCTCTGCCACGCTGAGGGGGATACAACACTCATCCACAGGAGTCCTGAAGGAGACTGGTGTCTTCCACCGGCTGAGGACACAGAACTCACAGAAGAGAGAGCTGGCCTCTGTAGATGTCAACTCTGCTGGGGCCTTGATTCTGGATTTCTCAGCCTCCAGATCACTTTGTTTACCAATCACCCTGCCTAAGGAATTTTGTTATGGGAACCTAGACAGACAGGTTACGGCAAGTAACACTTGCTCCAGAAAGCTTCTAACTGGATTCTGGACAATTCTGTGTCCCCTCCATCTTCCACTTCCTCTTCCAATCTGTGGTAGAGAGGAAGGCTGTGCTGTCTGGGATGCACCCCACTTTTTAAAATCAGCCTTGTAGGAGGACTCTCTTCAGGCTACTGCACAGACTTGGGTTGGGGGTCCTGGGAAGTCCACTGCAGGAGACCCTCTGGTGGCTATCAACCCAAGTATGTCCTGGAACCTCAGGATCTGGTGACATCTCCACCTCTGGAGATACTCTGGTAATTCATTGACTGGGAACTGGGCACTTGTTTTATGAAGGGATAACTTATAGACCCTTAACTGTACATATTTTTTTTAAATTTATTTATTATGTATATAGTGTTCTGGGCACCAGATCTAATTATACATGGGTGTGAGCCATCATGTGGTTGCTGGGAATTGAACTCAGGACCTTCAGAACAGCAGTCAGTTCTTTTAACCTCTGAGCCATCTCTCCAGCCCAACTGTACATATTTCAAATGTACACTTTGGTACATTTTGACATGTGTTGGCTTATCAGATTATCACTATGAACAAAATAACGAGCGATCAAAGTAGTATTCAGCGTTATTGGAAGTGCCCCCATTTTCTTCTGCAGCCCTCTCTTTCTGTTCCCAACCAAGCAAGTATGATTCTGGCACTACAGTCTGTGTATTTCCTATACTTTCCACAGCCCGAAGTCCTCTTGGCTCGGATTCTTTTATCCTGTGTAATTACTGAGCCTTTCATCCATGCTGCACTGATCCACTCCCTTGCTTTTCTTTCTTTCTTTCTTTCTTTCTTTCTTTCTTTCTTTCTTTCTTTCTTTCTTTCTTTCTTTCTTTCTTTCTAATATTTATTTATTATGCCTACAGTGTTCTGCCTACACGTATCCCTTCAGGCCTGAAGAGGGCGCCAGATCTCATCACAGATGGCTGTGAGCCACCATATGGTTGCGGGGGAATTGAACTCAGGACCTCTGGAAGAGCAGCCAGTGCTCTTAACCTCTGAGCCATGTCTCCAGCCCGACTCCCTTGCTTTTCTTGCTGGCTGCGTCTGAGTTGAGGATCACCAAGCAGGATGGGGAGTCTGGGCTACCAGCAGTCACTATCCATGCCAGGGAGTGACGGGTGCCCTGGAGTCACAGATGAACCGGACACATGGTACTGGGTGAGCATCAGGCCGGAACCAAGGTTCCTTCAGCCATCACAGTGAATCCCTTTGGTGTCCCTTCGCTGGGAAGCTCCACTTCCAAGAGCAGAGTTCATGCCACTGAGGTGGTGCTCTTTAACGGGGCATAAAGGAGTGTTTGTGTTTTGGAAAGATGGGCTGTGCCAAAAACCCAAGTGCTCAAGCAAACATGCATGCATGCATGCGTGAAGAATGTATGCACACACACACATATGCATAGCCATGGAGGCTAAGCTGGAAGCTGAGAGTCACTGAACAGTGAGGTCAGGACCACACCTGGAGAAGTAATGCATGGAGGAGTGGCCACAGAACTCAGCTGCTGGCTGGCCTAGGGGGCAGTGAGAGACAGGAAGTATCTGGGCAGAGGGGCAAGACAATCTTCTGGGAAGACAGAGAAGCAACTGAAGCCACACCTCAGCTTTTCCCAGAGCCCTGGCTCAGCCTGGGACAGCAACTACCCAGACTGT